AAAATGATACTTAGATAGCCTTTTTTCACAGAGTTGTAAAGAAAGTGCTTAGTAAAGCGTAAAGTATTCATAGCCCTGCCAGGTAATTATTGTAGGGACATGCAGACACATGAGACATAACATCTGCTTTCAGTGAGTTTATAATCTAGTTGAAGAAATGAGATTTACATGAGACATTTAAATAATAATAATAAAATGCCAAGAAAAAATGGTCCAAAAATAAGTCCTGTAAGATTCAAAATAGAGAGTATGGAGGGCTGGGTGACTTTGGGAAGGTGGCATTCAGGCTCACTGATTCTAATGTAATAAAGAGTGTGTGTGTGTGTGTGTGTGTGTGTGTGTGTGTAGGAGGGTGGAGGGAGGGAGGGGCATGGGGAACACTAATGCACTCACAGGTTCTTTTCTGAAAATACAATTTAATTGAGCTCAAAATTTTCTTTTAATTCTGTTTTTTCAACAATCCAATTCTATTTTTCAACATGTTCAACAAACGTGTTGAGCACTTACTGCATATAAGGCATACTGCTTGTGATAATAAGATGATTAGTGCATGCAGGTGCTGGTGTGACAGAACGACCACTGGACTGGAAGTTAGGAGAGAGAAGGTTCTAGTCCCAGTTACTAACTTACTGTGAACTTTGGACCTACTTTCCCACTTGAAGTTAGTTTCCTTATGTGTAAAATTTTAAGTTGAACTACCTGACCTCTTCTGATTCTCTTGCTCTGTGACTACAACTCTTCTTTTAAAGAATCCTTTGAAAATGGGTTGCCTTGAGGAATAGTGGGCCTCTCCCTTCATTGGAAATCTTCAAGCACAAACTGGATACTTGTTGGGCACATTACAAGGAAGATTCCTCTTAGGCGCAGGTCAGAGTGGATGTACTGAGTTCCCTCAGTACATCCCTCAAATTCTGAGTATAATTATCCAGAGCACTTTATGCTGGAGAACAAGAATTGCACTTGGAAAAATGGGGAAAAATAACCATTAATACTATTAAAAAGTTAACAACATCAAGCAAGTACTTTTCTATGGTGGACGTATGAAAAGTACATTCTGTATGAGTCTATCCTACCGCTTACCAGTAGCGTTTTGGAAATTGTGCCTGTCTTTGAAGGTACGGCTCAGCAGCTGTCCCCTCCAGCAAGACTGACCTGATTACTCTAGAAAAATTATATCTATAGAGCTTGGGCTTTCTTTAGAACTCTTTTATACAGTACTTATTTGTGTGCATACCACTCACCTCTGTTATTAGATAAATAATTCACCTTTGTATTCTGTCATGTCTAATGTAACACCTTGCATATTTTAGTAAATCATTGTTGAATGAATGAGTTACTGAATGAATTTGCAGTGTTAGATATGACTGCTGACTTTTATGTCTCATTAGAAATATCTTTCTAGCTTCAGTGAATCGAGTGTCAATTTTAATCAAAATTAAGATGCATTGATGGATGGAAGTTCAGCCTCTGGGACTGATAGTCATATTACCAAGTATTGGGTGACTTGTATTAAGATTCAAAGACTTGTTTTACTTTGACTGCATAAGTAGCACATAAACAAATGGCTCTAATTGGAGATCTGGATGAGTTGATTTGTTTGTAATGGACTTTTATGAAAAGTCACTTTTTATATGTTTTAAGTTGATGAATTCATACAATCTTTTTCTTGTTTGCAGAGTCAAAGGTTGCTGGAAAGTTTGAAGAAACTGGACTTCATCAAAACTTCGGTATTAAATAAAATATTTCCACTATTTCTATGACACAAAGTCCATAAAGTACATTAAACTTCAATAACATTGGGTACTTTTTATCTCTGTTCTGATGCATTTTAAAGAGACTTTGCTAATGCTCACAAATCCCATCACGTGCATGTAATTTATGACATAACTAGGCAGTTATATTGAAGCCTAGCAGTTCTAAACTGCACTGAGTGAGGTGCTATTTTTAAAATCCTGTTATGGTTTAATTCTGCTTAAAGTTATGGTTTAGTAGTTTTTAAAATAAAATTCAGCCACATAAGGAATTTATAAATACTATGCCTAAAAGAAAGCATATTTAAAAAATCTCCCTAAGTGAAGAGTAATATTTTCTATCAGAACTCTTTCCAAAATCTCTTACCCTTTAAATCTTATTTCCTTCTCTCATTGTTTCTTTTTACATTAGGGTTCAGAGGATAAAAGTGAACACTTAGTTCCTGGGTAGTTTTCTTAAAGTAGCAAAAGCTACTCTGCAGGTGGTTTTGTAAGAGGCTTTATCCTATTTTGGCCTGTTTTGTTTTTAGATTTTTTTATCCTTAGTTTAGTTTTTTAAAATTATTTTGGAGTTTAGCTGGTAGTAGCTCCCCATTACCCTCTGAATTAGGATCATGGAGTTAGGTGAGTTGGTGGAAGCTTGACCATATCGCTCCACCTCTTCCACAAAATTCACGTACATTTCCCTTTCTAACCTGGCTCTTTCCATATCAATCCCAACAGAGAGGTACACTTCATAGGCTGTTTCCTATCCTTTATGTTGACATTTGCTGGGGCCAGTTCCAAGAAGCCCTCCATCACTTTTGTCTCCATATAGCCTTTCTGTGATGCTTCCATCACTGTAGCAGTTTCATATTTACAATTCCCTCTGCTTTATAGGATTGTTGCTCCCATATTTCAGTACCATAAAGTATGGGAACCAATCGCTTGCGATGAGTATTTCAAAGTAGTCTCATGGACTTAAAATAGTTCATGATATATAACATGAATTGTTCTATATTTTCTTAATGTAACTTTAATAAAAAATTCCATGTAATTGCAATTTGTTAATAATGTAATTAGCTGTCCACATCAAAATGCTAATATGCTACATTCTTTTGTTCTGGTTTTAGAAACTCTATGTTAGGCTTGGGACACACATAGCAGTTTTGATCTAAGTATCACTATTAGGGGCCACTTCCTTTTGGAAGAGGAACTTGTAGAAGAAGAGAAGAGGACTCATTTAGTTTTAAAAAGAGCCTTCTTTCATATAAACGTTTTTCAAAGGAGTTTAAATCAGGCATGCCTGGGTCTGTATAAGTTCTAAAACTCTAAGATCAAAGTCTCCCTTAAGCCTTGCCTTCTTTTTGTTCCCCATGTCTTTTGTGGCCTTTTGCTTGCCCCTTTGTTTCAGAATTGTCTTGAATTATATGGATGAATTTCTGTTTTTTATTTTGTCTTTTTGAAATTTCTTCCTGGTTTTCATTGCAGTAAAACTTCAGTAAAACATTAAATTAATATTTGAGATTGAGATTAAGTAGATTGTGAAAATTAAGAATATGTGAGAAATGTCTGGAATATTTTCTTGTAAATCTTAAGAATATAGCAAAACCACCACTTTTGTTTTCCATTCATTACATGAGGTAAATCAAACCTAGAACCTTTGGTTTCTCTATAAACAAAATGGATGCTTCTTCAGTCTATTGTGCCAACTCAATATTTCAGTCTTTAATAATGTGTAGTTTTAATATATTGCTTGATAGTGTCACATTTGGGTTTAAGGTGGAAGATGAACTCACCTCTCCAGTGGTGGTATTCAAATTTTCCAAGGAAGTTTCAAGTTTGGGTGAGTAGCTTAGAGAGTAAGTTAGTATGAACAACTCTGAATAACCTAGATGTGTAAACTAGCTCATTTAAATCTTTAATCATAGTTTATGTGAGAATTTTATTGTAATAGTCTTCATGATGACTCTATCCCAACAACTATAGTATTCTGCAGTTCTTTATTGATGCAGCTGTGGTGTCAGGAGACACCCAGTCAATACTAGTTGTTTGGTAGATTTTAACTCTGGTAACATTACACTGTAAGATTTCTTTCTGGAATTTTGTGAAAGAAAATGTCTCAATAATGTAATGTAATTATGACAGCATCACTGACTCCTTGCCTGTCTTTACATAGGAAAATACATGTAGTGTGGCGTAATGGAAAGAGCCACTGCCCTTGCAGTCCTAAGTTCAAGTCACAGCACTCTGCCCCTGTTTTTTTTTTTGTTTAAAATTCTTTTTATACCTTTTCTTTTTTGCGTAATTTCTCAATATAATATCCCCCTGCCAATAGTACCCTTCCTTATAACAAAGAAAAAGAAGCAAAACTAATGGAAACAGCAATGATATGTTGGTGTATTTGAAGTTTGGCCTTGGGAGCCACTCCTACTTACTGTGAGATGGGAAATATGTTTTATTATATGTCCCAGAACTAGTCTTGGTAATTGCATTTTTAACCTTAATTCAGTTGGCTGTGGTATTGGTTTCATTTGCATTATTATAGTCATTATGTATATTGCTTTCTTGGTTCTGCTTTCTTCCTTCTTTAGCAGTTCATACAGATCTTCTCATTTCTTTGAAGTCCTCCTCTTTGTTGTTTCTTGTGGCTTAATATGCAGCAAAGTGGACAGAATGCTGACTTTGGAGTTGAGAAAGCCTGAGTTCAAATCCTACCTCAGACACTTACTGGGTGGCCCTTCAAATTACTTAACCTTTGCCTGCCTTGATTTCTTCATCTGTAAAATGGGGAAAATATAGCCCCTACCTCCTAGGATTGCTGTGAGCATCCAGTGAGAGAAAGGGCTTTGCCCTCCTTACTCACTGAAGAAGTGTTAGCTACTCATCATCATTCCTTTACATTCACTATTAGCCATTCCATAGTCAAGGGGCACCCGCTGTGTTTTTACTCTTTTATTATCACAAAAAGTCTGCCCCTTACTGCATGTTCTTGGTCAGGGATCATCTTCACTCTGCAGCCTCACAGGGTTTCTGCAAGGATCAGATGAAATGACCTGTATTCATAAAAAGCATGGTGCAAACGTGGCTGCCAGAACTGTCTTTATTGTGAATGTTTGTTGGTTATTGTAACTGATATAAAATACATGGAAACTTTAGTTATGGGAACTAATTATGGTTGTAGTAGCTTAATTACTTGGGCCTCAGCTTCATCTTTCAGTTTGTTGGAAACATTTTGATGCTCCTGGGAGTGATTGTTCTTTCTGTGTTTCAGGATCAGATAAAGCAGGGCACGGAACAGTTGTGCCCACCATGCAGCCCTCAGCAACTAGCCAGGAAAGAGACATCTGTGATACGTTTAACCAGTGGGTAAGAGGAAAATGAAGGAAGCTTTTATTAAGTGCTTACTCTGTGCAAAGCACTGTGCTAAGTGCTAGAGATACCATAGAAAATGAGACAGTCCTGCTCTTCAGGAGCTCATTCTCATGGCGCCCTGATATTGTCGGCTTTGTTTATTACTGGCCATGAGCCAATGTCCGTGTCATTTGGCAGCTTGAGGCGGCTCGTAGTTCAGTGGGTAGACCACTGGGCCCATGTTCAAATCTAGCCTCAGACACTTACTAGCACTGTGACCCTGGGTAAGTTGCTTAACCTCAGTATCCTTATCTGTAAAATGGGGGTGATAATAATAGCACCTACCTCCTGGGATTGTTGTGAGGATCAAAGAGATAATAGTTATAAAAGTACTTAGCACAGGTCTTAGCACATAGTAGGCACTGTATAAATCTTCTTCCATTCCTTTCTCCTTCCCTTGTCAGGAATTTGCACTTGTAGCAATAAACTACTTACTGCAGAGATATTGGTGTACTGTCCTTGGGTTCAGTCCTGTTGTTAACCGTTGACTCCGACGTGGTTTAATCAGATCATTTCTCCATCTTTTGTCTCAGTTTTCCCATATGTCTGTTGAGGTCTACCTAATAAGGTTTTTAGACACAAACATGAGTGTTGGTTATAATATTAATAATACAGTCTTTTAAAAAAAAATAAAGATGAGCACTTCCTCAATCAGATGAGGATGATGAGAATGACAGCAGTAATAACAGTAATCTCTAAGAAGTAGCTCATGTGTCTGTTTAGCAGCGGGAGTCAAACCTCATAGGCCTAGATATCGAGGAGCCTGATTCTGATTGCCAGCGGCAAAGTATTTCTTATGCTACACCGTGGGGAGGATGAATATGCCCTTTTAAACAGCAACAAACACCCCTCCCCATTCAGCATTTATTGACCCTCTTTATGCACTGATGGGCATTGGAGCTCCTTGTCTGGGATGAGCTGGGAGGAAAGGGCTTAAGGGCCTGATGACCCCTTTCTGCTCAGCCCCTTCGCCTGCCTGTTTCCACCAGCTTGGCGAGCAGCTGGCACAGCTGGTTCCCGCTAGTGGAGTTGATGTCGTGGAACTGGAAGATGAGGGCACATGTGTACGGTTCAGCCCGCTTATGACATCAGCAGGTAATTGCTGTCTCTGAATTCTGCTTGGATAGGGGCTTTTGTCCTGATGAAATAATGAGAGTTCATGGTTAATGTATAGGCTGTCAGAGTTCCCTTGCTCTGCACTAGTAACTAGTTTTCTTTTTTCCCCTCTTTTTCCTTTGCTTATCAGTCTTTCTTCTTGAGCAAGGCCTTTTCTTTCTCTCACCCTCAGGGCTTAACACAGTGAATGCTCTGCTCAGAATAGGTACTTAATCAGTGTTTGATAGTTTGAATTGTTGGAGTTTTCTTCAACTTGGTTTGAGTGGATCTTGCCTTTCTGATTCACTTCTCCATTTACATTCTCTATACATACAGTACAACATTCATTTGGACTTAGATGTTTATGTGACTTCAGTGTTTCATTTTCTGACAAATTCTGAAGAAATAAAAGATATTGAGGTGATGTTATGATCATTCTGAATCTTCCTCTGGAGAGAATTTGAACACTTATTTTGGGGGGGGGAGGAAGGGATAATTCGCGCATAGACCCTTGAAGGTAAGAAAACATAATCATCCATTTGTCCCCAAAAGAACAAGGGCAAGTCATGTAATATATTTGCTCTTACTGGGTCTTTTCCTTGTCTCTATTGGTTATCTTTTTTTTTTGTTTGTTTGTTTTCTTAATCTAACCTCCAGAAAGACAAGGTATACAGGTAACTATAACACAAAACAATATAATTGCCAAGGTATGAAGGAAGTCCTGGAAAGAACAGTGGAGGAAGAAATCATTTCCAACTTGTTAGAGGGAAAGAGAAATTAGAGAGGACTTAATGTAGGAAGTGGCATTTGAACTAGTTTTTTGAAAGGATAGGACTTTATCCAGATTTGAACCAGTGGAATTTAGAGTGCTTTCCAAATGCAGGAGACAGAGTGAACAAAGGTCACACATCTGAAAACTGTAGGATGAGTTCCTCTCACCCAGATAGACGTTTCTATGAAGAGATCTTAAGGTTTTAGTGTTATAAGTCAACTTTGTGACATGGCAGCCAAAAAAAAAAAACAAGCTAAAACAAGCTACATTAAGAAGCATAGTGCCCCAAACAAGTGAGGTTATAATTCTGCTTTATTCTGCGTTGGTCAGACCTCATTTGTACTACTGTGTGCGGTTCTGACCATCACATTTTGGAAAAGGCAAGCTGGAGCATGTCCAGAAGAGGGTGACCAAGATGGTGAGAGGATGGAAAACAAGGCATACAAGGGGTTGATTGAAGGAACTAGGCATTTTTAACTTAGAGGACATAAAACTTAAGAAGACACATAATAGCTGTTCTTCAGGGATTTGAAGGCTCACTAGTGTAGAGCTGACGTGTCAGATGTGTGGCCCACAACACTCCACAGCGTGGCTGGAAGCAGATTAAAATGTACTTGGGAAATGTTTAACAATAAATACAAATACAGTGAAACATAGATAATGTCAGTATGTGGTCCACAGAAATCCTTACATATAGATCAGTAGTCTCCATTTCTAAGTTTTTGATACCACTCTTGTAGAGGAATGATTAGACGTGTTCTGCTTGGCCCCAGAAGCTGAGCAATACATGGAAATTACAGATGGGCAGATGTAGATCCATTGGAAAGAAAGCTTCCTGACAATTAGAACTATTCAAAAGTAGAACGAGCTGTACTGGGAGGTAGTGGGTCCTCCTTTGTCAGAAGTCTTTGAGAAGAAGCAGGGCAACCACTTGCTGGGGATTCTGTAAAAAGTTCCCTTGGTTATGTTGCTCTAGACAGTTCATTTCTGAGGCCTCTTTCAGCTCCTAGGTGTGCTACAATTTAGGAAGCCCAGTGGAGCTAGAGCATAGAGCTCAGGTTGTTGAGTAGCGTAAGATAAGTATATAAAGGTGAATATGAGGCAGGCTGGCAGCTAAAGAGTTTGGAGGTTAACGATGTGATCAGAGCTACATGTAAGATGGATTAGAGAAGAAGGTGATTGGAAACTGGGAGACTGCTTGGGTTACTGTGGTAGAGGAAACAAAGGCCTAGAATAGGGGAGTGAGTGGTCACAGCGAAAAAGAATCGTGAAGGCGGAGGGGACAGGACTTGTGGTGACTGACTGGCTATGGGAAAAGCCAAAAGCAAGCCAGGATATTGGTAGGACCACTGATAGGAATAGGGACCATAGATTTAGGGCTAGAAGGGTCCTCAGAGGACAGCTCATCCAGTCCGAGATGAGGTAACCCGAGGCCCAGGGAGGTTAGGTGTCTAGGCCAACGTCACACAGGTGGCTCCCTTCACTTATTTTGCTGGAATTGAGGAAAAGCAGTGCAGTTAGAGGGAGAGATGATGGATTCATTTTGATCATCCTTTTCCTGAGAATAACTGCATTAATGAGTCTGTCTTGGTGCAGGGGACAGTTTTCTAATGCTCACTTTCTAAAACAGCTTTAGACTATTCCTCTCTGCCTTCAGCAAACTTATGCATTTTAAAAATTCCCTGCCCTAGCTATTTGAATGTGCAAGGAACTTCTGTAGGGGCATTTCTGATGGTGAAAAGGGAATGTTGTTTCTCTGTATTGTGATCTATTTCTATCGCTGTGACATTTCTGATGATAAACTGATGGGCCTTTTCAGTTCTAGGAACTCAAGCAGATGACATTGATCAGCTGGTGGCATGCTTAAAAACCCAGATTCCAATTCTGACCTGTACAATACAACTCCGAGAAGAATTCAAGGAAGAAGTGGGAAGAACAGCAGGCCTCTCACACATTGAGGACTTGGGCTGGCCTGGCTTAGGTGTAGTCAGGTACAGGCTCAGCTCTCCATCAGCTGATGTTGGGTTTGTAGCCCAGAAACCGAAGTTGAGAGATGATCTAGTGATGAATTTGTGTTTCACCTTTGGCTGTCTTTACTTAGAGATGCTACTCTACTATTTAACCAGTCAGCAGGCGTTTGTGAAGCACCTACCACATGCTAGACATTGTGCGAAGTGCTGAGAATAGAGATACAAAGAACGAAATAATTCTTACTGCCAGAGAGCTTACATTCTAACTTTTATACTGTGCTATGTTTAAACTTCTGGTATTGGGAGAACTAAAGTTTCCCAAGACTGAATAGATTTATGGACTTGTGCTTCCTCTTCTACATTCCCTAAAGTGCTCAGGTTTTGAGAATCTGTGAAATGATTTTTCTATCCCTGTTGCCTGGCTTCATTTCTGTGTTAAGTAGCTCATATTTTGTAACACTGTGATATATGAAGATATTATGTAGTCTGCAGTATTTTTATTTGATATGATTTCATAGGTATGAACACATAATTGAAGAGAAGATTAATGAGAAATCAGAAGCAGAAGTAGAGAAAATCAATACTGAAATCCTGAAAAAATTAAATGAACTGGAATCTGACCTTTCATTTTCACTGGGTAACTCCTATGTTTTAAGTCAATAATTCTGACCATTAAAGCCATGAGCTGATGTGGACAATGCTAGGAGAAACTCTAGTTTGCTTCTAAGATCTTTTCACACAGCCTTGCATCTCCCTTCCGTGTGTAAAGCTTGTTATGGGCTTTCTTTCTCCCAGGTGAAAGCCACTCCTCAATGCCCCGGATGATACTCACCACATGTGCAAAGTTGATTCCCAGACCTTGCCCCTTGTGTTAGTCTCTTGTTTGTGGACTAGTGGGGTGGGGTGGGGTCAATACAGAAAAAGAAAAAAGCAGAGCTAAAATTTGACAGTGATATGGAACTAAGGAATTTGGTTTATTTATTCCTCTGCAGGCCCTGAGTTTGGAAGACAGAAGAACTGTATTTATATCGGTATGGCAACTGAGGACCTTGATATTTCTGAGCTAGTAGAGACCATTGCAGCCACAGGCCGAGAAATAGAGGAAAACTCGAGGGTTCGTAAGATAAACAGACTACTTTTTTTCCTTCCTCTCCTCTTTGCAGCCTTTTGACAGTTCTGCAGGATTAAGGTTTTTCTTTTTTTTTCCTTATTTTTTTTGTGAGACAATTGGGGTTAAGTGACTTGTTCAGGGTCACACAGCTAGTAAGTGTCAAGTGTCTTGTCTGAGACTGGATTTGAACTCAGGTCTTCCTGACTCCAGGGCTGGTGCTGTATCCACTGCACCACTTAGCTGCCCCAGGATTAAGGTTTTTCATCCAGGGTTGGGGCAACAGGAAGAAAGGGAAGAAGAGAATTGTCATGTAAGGCCAGCCAGCTAAAGCCATAAGGGAAGCTGCCTCCCTAAGCTATACTTGGAAATATGTATCTCATCTTCCAGTAACCAAGTATACTGGCTTCTCTAAAGGGTAACGGAGACAGACTAGATGGTCTGAGGCACATTCTCTGAGTTAAACAATTGAGTCATAGATATATTCAAGGAGGAAAGAAAAAGGAAATGCAGCAGAGTAGCCAATATTTTTCAGCCTATAGAAAAGGTAATGGAAGCCATTCATCATATTACTTATAGTCCTTTGCCAAAACAGACAAACCCCCTAAACTTAAAAGTGCCATTTTAGTTTATTCTAGTATGTTAATTTCTTCAGGTTGCTTCTAGTCTTTTGGGTGGATTTATAGGAATGTAGAAGAGGCAGGGGGTGAGGATCATTTTCCTTGACATTGTAAGTTTAAGTATCAGTGTAAAATTTTAGGTGGTAGTCTAATCTTTTCTTCCCATTAACTAGTAAATATATTAAACAGCAGGAGTTTAGGTCTTTATACTTTTGTTTCCTGCATAGTTTTAGTTAAAGCAAAATTGGTTTTTTTACCAACCTGTTTTTGAAAAATGTCCTCAGTACCCTGTTAGTAGCTATAACCAAACAGTGCCTTTTCTGGTTTTCATTAGCTACTGGAAAACATGACTGAAGTTGTTCGGAAGGGAATCCAGGAAGCACAGGTTCAGCTGCAGAAAGC